CTTTTAAGACCCCAGACGCTATATCTTTTGATAGCCGGGCACCATCAGCTTTCTTCACCACATTTGCTTATACACCCGCTTTGTCTTCAGCGGTTGTGTATACTAGAAGAAAGTATTCTTGTGTTGAGGGGAACTCCCAATTTTTCGATCAACAGCCAAGCCTGTTAACTGTTTGCACTACCCAGGGATGCCAAACAAAGAATAGTGAAAATGTCCTTGGAAAAGAAGGGGCCAAATTATTGGCAAAGTGATTGGTTTTTCGGGAGAAGGCAAGAGAAGGGTAAGCGCTGAAGTGGTTGGCGTGTCTGAGGATGCCTGACTGAGGGTTAACATTTCCTCTACGAATGAGGAGCGGAGGCCATTGTTTCTGCGAGGGAGTGGGTGACGAAGAGGCTGGCCCCAGAGAGTTGGAATGTGGGCTCCGCTTAAACCTCACTTTTTCAGGCCGGCCTCGGTTGATATTTAGACTCAGAAAAGTCTCAGGTTTCCAGTCGGGTTTGTTCTTTCCTCATTATAATACTCAATCCTTTACTCAACAAATAAAGAGTGCCTACTAGGTTCCAGGCACTGTTGTGGATCACGGCATGACATTGCATTCTAATGGCTTATTCCACAATGGTCTCCCCACTAGATTCTGACTCCCGAGAGGGGAGGAGCTCTTTCCTTGTCATTCATCACTCTCCCGTGTGCCCAGTACCGTGCCGGGCGCTCTTTGAATAGGATAGAAGTGCCCCACTGCCTCTCTGACTTTAAGCAGAGCTCACCCCTTCGTCCATCCTATGGCTTACTATCAGCTCCTTCGCTACCTTTTCCTTTTCACCCCGGCACTCACGTTAAGCCCTGGCCAGCTCACTGCCTTGAGCCAGAACACTTTAATCGTTTCCGTTCCTTTGCAATACTTCAGGTATGGACTCCTGCAAGGAGTGGAGAGAGTTTGAGCTGGTCGTCTGGTCATGCTTTTGACGTGAGGTGATGGTATTCACCCAGATCAGGGCTAGCCGCTCAGGCCTCTGCACATATCCACAGTAGAACTTCCCTGTCCTTGCCCCCAGTATTTTCTCAGCCTGCACCAAGTGGACAGTGCTTCCCTGCTGTCTATCTACCTGGCTCCAGTCACACAGTACCTATGCCCTTTGGAGACCATATCGCTAAGTACGAAAGATGGCTGGTCCGGGCCTGGCCTCTGAGAAACGGGACTCTGTACACCGCCATCCCTATGGCTCTCTGAGCTTGACAGAGTCCTCCAACGGATGGAGATATCACTGTTGAACACTCTTTGAACCAGGAGGTCAGTTGAAGCTAAGTTCCTCTTAAGATCTCAGCCCTGGCGGGCCCAGGACCCCTCTCTGACCATACCTCCCTCTCAAGTACCTTTCATGACTCCCTAGTACCCTCCCGAGCCCTCCTAGTGCCCATCCCCCATCCATCCAAGCCTTTCGGAGTGTTTATTTCCCAAGCCAGTTCCAAGCTTCTTAGTTCCTACTTACTCTTACATCTTCCTCTTTCTCCACCTCCTCTCCCTTCCTTCCACACCAAGGGTCACCTGTGTGGCAAATACGCAACTCACTTACCTTAATACTGGGTATGCAAAGTTGAATAAGACATGGTTCCAGATGCTTTGACAGCATTCAGAACTGGAAATTGTAAGGCACAAAGGAGGAAATGGTCCTTTGATAGGGTAGGGGGAGAGGACTCAACAGGAAAGACTTAGGGCTGAGGCACTGTACCTGCTAAGCTGAGCAGAGGCTCTCCTAAGGGGGGACAGGTATTTAGGTTGAGGGGAGCAGAGACCCAGAGCAGTGAGAGTATGGTGTGTTCCAGAATCTGCCACACTCCCTGGGGCTGGAGTCTAAGGTGAGCCATGAGCGGTCAGATGCATTGAGTAAAGCAGGCTCTTGGGCATCCTGCTGATGAGCTCAGACATTATCCTAAAGGCAGCAGTGAGCCATCTAACATTTGAACCAGGGAATGACACAATCAGGTTTCCATTTTTGGAGGATTACTGTGGTTCTGGGTAGAGGCAGAGCCATCTGTTCTGTTTTTTCCTTCCTCCATCGATTCCAGGGAGCATGAGTTTTCTCATTACCCAGGTGCAGCTACCCTGGGCAGCCAACACTTATATGTGAGGTAGACACCTGGACACAGCTTCAGTCCCCCCACCCCCCATGTATTTCACATGCCTGACATTTGTGTTAGGGTCCAAGGAGCTAGAAAACAGTGGAAAGGCTTCTGGCTCCGGATCCTGACTGCAGCCAGGCACCAGTGCTCAGTGTTGAGAACCACACCAAGGACCCCGAGAGAAGTGGCGCCCCGGGTAGCTGGGAGAAGAAGGAACACCTTAGTGAGGCCCAGGGAGAGAGGGAACTCTGAGATAAGAAGCTGAGGGGAAAGAGCTGTCCAATGGGAGTCAGAGAGAAAGCACTGCAGCAAAGGAGCAGCGTGTGTGTGTGTGTGTGTGTGTGTGTGTGTGTGTGTGAGATGGGGTGTGGTGGGGTGTGGTGTCATGTTGGAAAGGAGAACTGGAAGGGAGGAGGCAGCTCTATGGCAGAGGCTGTTCGGAGGAGGGGAATCCCTGGATGACGCAGACGGTGGACTGTCAGCCAAAAAGTTAATGGTCGGCACCCATCCAGACGCTCTGGGGAAGACAGGCCTGGCAATCCGCTTCCGAAAGGGGACAGCCTTGCAGACCCTGTGGAGCATTGTTCGTTTCTGCACTTTGTGGGGTCACCACGAGGTGGAATGGACTAGACGACACAGAGTTTGCTCTTTTGGTGAAGAAGGGGTCTGCAAGGAAGGGTCAGGAGGAGAGAAAACTGAGAGTGGTCGGTCGGGGAGAAAGCACTGTCCCGTGGGGCTGCTCAGGGTCAGGGAAGGACAGTGAGGAGAACAGAGGAAGGTCTTGGAGGGGGGGGCCGACTGAATGGGGCCTTGGGAGTAGGTGTCCTGGGGCAAGGGAGCTAGCAGGAGAGGTAAGACTCAAACCATTGGGAAGAAGGTCCCCATGCAGGACTTGTGATGGGAGGGGTGGGACAGTGGAGGGCAGGTGGAGCTTGTTTGGGGCGCCATCTGTGGGGTGGAGACAGTCACGTGACCAAAGTGCAATTTCTGAAGCTCACAGGGGGCCTCGGAGTTGACAGTTGACGGGGGTCAGTTCACACATGAACTTGACAAACGTTTACGGAGCCCATGCTCAGTGCTGGGACCCTGTTAGCTGCGGGGCGTCCTGCGTTGGGGTAGCGGGTAGGGGCGTGGCGCTTGAGCTGTCGTTGTGGAAAACAACCATCAAACAAAGTCAATAACAGATTTGTTTGTCATATGATGATCTGGGGACAATGAAGGGTTTCGGGACTGCTGACCAGGGGTATGGAGAGGTGAGCTACAGTTTTACAAAAGATGCTCAGGGAAGGCCTGGCTGAGAAGGGGCTGTTTGGGCAAAGACCCGAAGGACAGGAGCATTCGAATCAAAGGCTCCCACTGTGACCTCCACAGGGGACATGGAAGAGGCAGGCAGGGAGAGTGGTTGGCGTGTCTGAGGATGCCTGACTGAGGGTTAACATTTCCTCTACGAATGAGGAGGGGAGGCCAAGGGGAGATACTTCGTAGGAACAGCCACCAAAGCAAAGCTCCTTCTGACCACTGGAGCCACGGATTGGAGCTGGAGGCCATTCACTGGGACCTGCCAGCCCAGTGCCTTGCTCCCTGACCTCACAGACCCGAGGATGGGGTGGGCTTGGAGGCCGATGAATGGCAGGAACACAGCCTGGGGGCACCGACAGTGGCAGGGCTCAGAATAGCAGTGTGGTAAGAAGGTCAGCAAACCGGGTCCTGCCCCCATCAGCCAAGCCCACACCAGCTGTGCCCCTGGCACAGCAGACTCCAGCCAGTGAAGCTGGGGGTGGGGAGCACTGAAAGCCATTGTGTGGAGGCCCTGCTGTGGGAGAGAGGGTGGAGCAGGGCCAGGCGGTGCAATCCCAGGATGCTCAGGCCTGGGGAGCTTGGGTGTGGTGGCCAGCGGACCTTCGTGCTGGCTTGTGATGGGGCGGTGGTGCTGGGACTAGAGTTGAGTGCAGTCATTCTTAAGGGGAAACAGCTGGTGGAACAGAGAGCAGGCTCTGCGGAGGATCCTGGGGCAGAAGCAAGGGTGCTGTGGCCCTGTCTTAGAGGTTCAACACTGTCTCCCTCCCCACCCCACAGGTTCTTCCAGGGCCATGTCTGTTCCATCGCCCCTGAGCCAGTCGGCCATTAATGCCAACAACCATGGAGGCCCCTCACTGAGCCTACCCCTGCCGCTGCACGCAGCCCACAACCAGCTGCTCAACGCGAAACTGCATGCCACGGCCGTGGGGTCCAAGGACCTGCGCAGCGCCATGGGGGAGGGCGCGGCCCCCGATCCGGGCCCTGCCAACGCCAAGTGGCTAAAGGAAGGCCAGAACCAGCTCCGGCGGGCTGCCACGGCCCACCGTGACCAGAACCGCAACGTGACCTTGACCCTGTCAGAGGGGCCCAGCCAGGAGCCGGAGATGGCCCCCTTGGGCCCCAAAGGTCTGATGCACCTCTACTCTGAGCTGGAGCTCTCGGCCCACAATGCTGCCAACCGGGTCCTCCGGGGACCTGGCCTGCTCATCACCGCTCAAGAACAGGGGCCAGAGGAAGGAGAGGAGAAGGCAGCCGAGGAGGCTGAGGAGGAGGAGGAGGAGGAGGAAGAGGATGACGAGGAGGAGGAGGAGGAGGAGGAGGAGGACTTGTCTTCTCCCCCGGGGCTACCTGAACCTGTGGAGGAGCGTGTGGAGGTTTCCCCCAGGCCCCAGGCGCTTGTTGAGGGTCCCCGGGAGCACAGCAAGAGTGCCAGCCTCCTGTTTGGCATGCGGAACAGTGCCGCCAGTGAGGAGGACTCCAGCTGGGCCACCTTATCTCAGGGCAGCCCCTCCTGCGGCTCCCCAGAGGACACAGGTACATTGTGGAATGCGGTGGGCTTGGCTGCGGGAGTGGGGCTTTGAAGGTAAAGGTCAGGCTGAGACCGCTCTGGGCATGTCACCGAGCTCGTGCCCTGAGTCCGAGCTCGTGCCCTGAGTCCGCAGCCAGGTAGATCTAGGTTTTCCTGGCTTTTCCAAGCATGGGGGGAGTGCTTGCACAAGCCGAGAGTTCTATCCATCATGCACACCTGGATGGATGGTGGACTAGCTCCATTTATTTAGCACTTACAGGGTGACTAGGAGCCCTGGTGGGCTAGCGGTTATGCATGGTCTGCAGTCCTAAAGGTTAACAGTTCGACACCACCAACACCTCCTTGGATGAAAGATGGAGCTTTCTACTCCGGTAAATACTTACAATCTCAGGAACTCACAATGGGCAGTTCGACCTTGTCCTGTAGGGTTGCTGTGAGTCGCATCAACTCGATGACAGTGAGTTTGTTTCTTTAGCATATTCATTAATTAATTACCTATATAGCATATTAATCTTCACAATCATACTGTGTGGCCGATACTATTAGTAAGCCCACATCGCAGAAGGAGAAAAGAAACCCAGAGAGATTTAGTAGCTTTCCCAAGGCCACATACTGTCCGTAAACCAAAAAGCAAACAAGCAAAACCCAGCTCACTGCCATGGAGTGGATACTGACCTATAGCAACCCTATCGGACAGAGTAGAACAGCCCGTGACTGTAACTGTTTACGAGAGTAGGAAGCCCCGTCTTTCTCCCGAGGAGGTAGTGGTTCCCAACTACCGACGTTTCAGATGGCAACCCAACGCATAACCACTATACCAAACAATAGAACTAAAATACAAGCCAGCTCTGAATCTAGGACCTGAACTCTCAACCTCACATCATGCTGCCCCCCGGTGAACAGACAAGATGAACTGAGATGTCAGGTGTGAAGGGAGCAGCCAGTGACTTCTGGCTGTGAGGTCTGTTTGGAATGCCTGGGGACAGGTTGTTGTTTGCCTGTGATCCACATGCCCTGGGCAGAGCACTACGCTGGACATAAGGAAGGGTGCTGCTTGGTCATGGATAGGATACTGACTGAAAATTAGGAAACGGAGGTCGAATAGACATGCTTCTTTGGCATTAAGAAAAGAAACACAGATTGACTATTAAACTTGTCCCATTTCAATAAGATGGGTCTCCACCTTAGCTAAGTATCACCTAGACATTAGACAGAGCTAAAGGAAGAGACCTGGGGTGTAGTGGAAGGAGAGAGTAAGGGGAAGCCCCAAGTGGCACCAGGCTGCAGGTGAGGTGAGCACTCCATTCCCTTTCAAAGAGCTCTGGCGAATTTCACACTTGGACAGAAGAAGAGAGAATAGAATAAGGGACCTGACTGATCTGTCACCCAGTTTGAACAGTTGATCAATACATGCTGCATCTCACTCCTCACCCATGCCTCAGGTTCCAATCTTGGTTATTTTGAAATATTTCCATCTATAAATATGTACACAAATCACTCTAGAAACCCGTCTAGAAACAGGTCTAGACATTGTGATGGTTGATAGACCTTTGAGAGCTTCTTTTGATTGTTGAGTTCTCCCTCCCTCTCTCTCTACCTCTTGCTTGTATTATTTGTGTGTGTGTGTGTGTGTGTGTGTGTAGAAACCCTGTTGTTTGTCATGAGCTTTTGCATGGTCTGGGCTTTGCAGATTCTCACCCTGTGATGGTTTTTAATATGCTCCTCTTCCCCCTGGATCTCCTATAAATAGGCAGTTAGTTCTTAGAGAATCGATCACATTCAGATGCCAGGTTTTATTTCATGTTGTTTTGTTTTTGCAAGGACCCATCGCAGTGTCTGATTGCCTCTCTTTCTGTGGTGTTAGCAGCCTTGAATGGGCACTGCCTTGACCCACTTTAATGGGAACAGCCCCTGTTCCACTGCATCTGGCTATTTATAGGGCTGGGCTTGGGGGAAATGTCATCTCAGTGGAGCTATTTCATACAACTTTTCAAGGAAAACTGAAAACTAGGTAGTGATGTGAAACATCCATCCCAATTAAAAAATTTAGAATGTTAGCAAATATATATATATACATATACATATGCATACACACACGTGTCTCTCACTCTCTCTATATAGATGACTGTGCTGACCACACAGAACCTGAGACTTGCATTAGTCTGCAGGTTGCCAGTTTATAACCTGTGTTCTAGGGGTATGAGCCAGAGGCCAAAATCCAGAGGACTCGGTTGTGCAGTGGCTCCTGGGATGGGATGGTCACTGTAGTGGCTATACCCAGGAACCTTCTAGAGTCAAAGGATAGACATGCTGGAGAGCTGGGAAAGCGTGCTAGGCATGGGCAGTGACCTGAGCAAAGCTAGAGGATGGCAAGGGACCATGCTCAAGTGGATGCTATGGAAAGTGGGAGTCGAGGTGTGGGACCAGCCCAGGGAAGGCTTACTCTCTTGAGGTTGTGTTGCTGTAGCCATGAAGGACACAGAGAAGCTGTGTTCCGGTAGGAAGGGGGCTAGAAATGAGGAAGCATTGTGAACTTGACCGTGTTGTTGATTAAATGTGTAAATGCATGAACACATGAATGAATGAATGAATGAGTGGATAAACTTTAGTATCTGCGTTGGGCGCATACCTTCTGTGCCAGACCTTTTCTTAGACACAGGAATACCTTCTGTGTGGGACAGATGTTCACTCATATGACATGCACAGTCTAATGGGGAGGCTGTATGATGAACACCGGGGTATGGGAGGGGCAGGAGGGACATTTAACCCTGCCAGTGTGAATGGCAGGAGGGAGGGGAGGAGTTTTGACCAGTGGCTTTTCCACTGAAAGGAGGGGGAGGGAGGGGGAGGTCAGATGGGTGGGAGGGGGGATGGAGGGGGAGATTGCTGGTGAAGATGGAGGGTGGGAAGCTGGGCTGAGAGGAGGAGGGGCATTCCCAAACTGGGGGAGAGAGAGGGAAGGGGAGTGGAGGGTGGCTAGGCAGACAGGCAGGTTGACAGACAGATACCTAGGACTCAACTCGGTGAACCGCACACAAACCCTGTGGAGGAATTTGGAGTTTATCCCCAGGGATAATGAGAAAACAAGAGCATGAAACTGGAGCGTAACTTGATCAGTTTAGGATTTGGAAGGATCCTTCAGGCTATAGCGTGCAGCCAGATTCAGGTGAAAGAAACAAACAAAAAAGCCCACAAAAAAACCAGTACTAGCAGCCTAGATGACATGACATGGGGGTGGAGGGAAGGGGAGAACCCTTTGTGTGTGAATCACTGCTTCCTGAGCCGATGAGTGCACTTGGCCTAGTCATTAAGGCATGCTTGGGTGGCTGGCTGGCTGAATGAATGATACATGCATGTTTGAATTTGCGTGCGAGTGCCTGAATGAATCCCCATGAGAGTGAAGGTGTGCGTTCAGGAACAAATGTATGAACATGGAAGCAAGGGCCGGGGCAGAGCTGTGTGTGGAGGGAGATGTGCCAGGCTCCAGAAGGGACTCCCAGATGGTCAAGGTCGGGGAGAATCTGCCCCTCCAGGACAAACCGGAAGGATGAAGCTCTTTGAAACAGGAAGGTGCAGGCTGGCAGAGACCTGCAGTAGGAAATCAGGGATTGCTGGTGTATAGGTGTGGCTGCTGAGACATGCAGACCCTCAGTAGTCGGGCTCCTGGGAGGTTTGGAGGTGGTGGTGGGAGCCCTTAAGGGAATTAAGGTCTCTGGAGATAGTGGGTGTTCTCTTACGTACCCAGCAGGCACCTTGTTCCCTAGGCCATCAGCCTGTGGGGAGGGAGGCAGTTGGGGGATGGCAGCCTGGGAGGCCTGGGGGAGAAGAGCCCTTCCCTCTCGGAGTGTCCGCTGGCTCCCCCTATGTAGCAGCTGAGGAGGTGCAGCACCTGCCCTGATTGCCTCTCACAGCAGGTGTGCAGTCACCTTGTTGGAGCCACACCTAGCCCCCACGTAGATCCCCAAGGTGGCCGGTTGCCCGGCAGCCTAGGTTTGGGGACTGCCTATCCCTCAGTGCTGCCTCTTGGACCAGTCAGGATTCCTGGTTTCCCTGGTAACGGGAAGCACGTCAGCAGTCTGGGCGCTCCCAGACGTCCTGGTACTGCGGTTGCCGAGGAGATGCTGCAGCCTAGCTGGGCCCCGGCAGGTGAGGGGGTGGGGTGGGGCTAGGAACCCCAAGCCCGGCCTCAAGCTTGCTGGGACCCAGGCCCTCCAGGCCCACCCTTAATCTCAAACTGCTGGTCAGTTCTGGGCAGGGGATGCCTCCCTGGGAGCCTGGAAGCCACACCCTGTTTGTGCTGAGAGCTATAAGCTCAGCAGGGCCCCAGGTGGCTAGGGTGTTCCTGAGGTGCTGAGCCTCCTGGTGTCCCTGCCACTGGGCTTGACTAAGTCCCCCCTAGCCCCCACAGGTGACCAATGGGGGGGGTGGCATTGCAGATTTAGGAGGTGGGGATGGGATTAGGAAGAAGAGATGTGAGCAGGAAGGGTTGGGGGTCTCATGATGCCCTTCCTCCCTCCGCTGCCCCACTGAGCTAGGCCCCCTAGCGAGGTGGTCCCAGCCCCTCCCTGTGAGCTCCAAGCGGGGGAGGATCTTGCATGGCAGACGCTCTGCCCTGGTGAGAAGGGGGCGGGGATGAGCTTTTCCCTGCAACCCAGCACCAGGCTGTGAGCCCAGCTGGCTGGGCTGAAGGGGCTGCGAGGAGGAGGAGGAGGAGGAGGGCGGGTGGAGGCAGAGGGGCCAGCAATGAGCGCCATGTTCTCCCAGGACTTTTTCCTGGCCATCATCCTGCAGGACAGCAGCCCAGGTGAGGGGCATCGAGGGGCTGTGTTTGGAATGGGGTTGGGCTGACCGGGAGAGCAAAGAGGCTGGAGGAGGGGGGCTCAGGTGGGGATGGAGTTGTGTGATTCTGCCAAGGGCAGGCAGAGGGGGTGATGGTGGTGGTGGTGTGTGTGCCACAGGTGCGGGGCATAGGTGTGGCCACACTCAGCCTGTGGCGAGTTCTTTCATGAATGTCTGCGGTGTGTGCACACGTGGGGCAGAAGTGGACATGTATCCTGTGTGTCTGAGTGTGTCACATGCTCACACATATGTTTTGGGTATCCCTGAGGGTGTGGTTTCTCCCCACGTGTGGCAGGGGCTGGATTATGCAGTTGTGTGTGCACACATCTGTGTACAAGGATTAAGATAGTTTGTGAGCAGAGTTTTGTGTGTGTGCCTGTGCGCACGTATGGGCACCTGAATATCAATACCTAATCATGCTTGTGTGTGCGTGCACTCCCTAGTCTTTATGGTGTTTGCACAGGTGTTTGGCTGTGCTTAGTATATGTTGTCTGCACACATGTATGTGTGCAGGAGCTGGTCAGTGCGTGCCCTTCCATGGACCCTGGACTACGGATCTAGAAGAAGGGAGGTTAATCCGGGTTACTCAGCTGCCCTTCCTCCCATCTCTCTCTATTTCCTGCCTTCCTTCCATGTGGCCACAGTAGCCATGAGCAGGGCCCAGGAGGAGGCCAGAGCCATGTCTCCTGCTGGGGGCCCCCTGTGTTGTTCCTCGAGAGAACAGACTCCTGGAGAAGCAGGGGCCTCCCGTGCTGTGCTGTGGCCCTTCTGTCACTCCTCCTCCTCCTCCTCTGCCAAGGGTCTCAGGAAGGAACTGGGCATCACTGTTAGGTAGGCAGACCCTCAGCAAGCCCTCCACCTGGCAGACTCCTTCTGGAACCCCAACGCCTTCGAGACGGATTCCGACCTGCCAGCTGGATGGATGAGGGTCCAGGATACCTCAGGGACCTACTACTGGCACATCCCGACGGGGACCACCCAGTGGGAGCCCCCAGGCCAGGCCTCCCCATCACAGGGGAGCAGCCCCCGAGAGGAGTCCCAGGTGAGACTCAAAGGCGTTTGGGCTTTGGACTAGGGCAGAGCTGGGGGTGGGGGCTGTGAGGTGCTGCTGGAGCAGGGGGAAGTCCCCACTCACTGCTCCTGTTTCGCCTCCTAGCTCACCTGGGCAGGCTTTGCTCACGGAGAAGGCTTTGAGGATGGAGAGTTTTGGAAGGTAGGTGAGGTCTTCCTTCATGAAGGGAGGAGCCGGGGAGGGGAGCATTTTGGGGCCTGATTCCTCCATCCCCTGCCCAAGGATGAACCCAGTGAGGAGGCCCCTATGGAGCTTGGACTGAAGGACGCCGAGGAGGGGACATTGTCCTTCCCAGCCCCGAGCCTCAGGTGAGTGGAGAGGCACCGTTGCAGTGGCTGGGGGTGGCTTGGATCTCTCCAGAAGGGACCTGGGGTACAGCTCCGTGTATGGGGGCCCTGTGCCAAGCATTAACCATCTGCCCACAGCCCAGAGCCATTGCCTCAAGAAGAGGAGAAGCTCTCCCCACGGAATGCCAACCCAGGGATCAAGGTTTGTTCAAGACCAGCCCCATGTCCCAGATTTGGGGCTCCTCTGGGTTCAAGCGGTGGTGGGGATTTTGGGTCTTGGGAACGCTCTCCTGGTCCTGAGGTACCAGATCTTCCAGGCTCAGCACCGACTCCCATGGCTGAGCTGGAGACACCAGCCCAGTGGCCTTCCAGGCTTGGTTCAGATGCTGCTTTGTACTCGCAAGGGCCTCCTTGGGGACCTCCCCCTCCGAAACGCTGGTTGAGCTCAGACCCCGTCCCCCCACTCCTTGAGTCAGGAGTGCCTCTCTGTCAGCACAGACCTGAGGCCTGTGTGCAGGTGTGTGTGTGGGTGGGTGGTGGGGTGCTCCTTGGGTCTGAGATCCTCTGCCCCTCCCCCCCTTCTGTGCCTGGCAGTGTTTTGCCGTGCGCTCCCTGGGCTGGGTGGAGATGACCGAGGAGGAGCTGGCCCCTGGACGCAGCAGCATGGCGGTCAACAACTGCATCCGACAGCTCTCCTATCACAAAAACAATCTCCACGACCCCATGGCTGGGGGATGGGGGGAGGTGAGAGCCTGGTGCTAGTGGCATGGGAGCGGGCTTCATTGGGAGGAGAGAAGGCATATGTGAGGGCTAGGAGGTCTGACAAGAACTGGGGGACCCAGCCAGGTGACAGCCCTGGGAGGTGGATATGTGACTCCGCAGTGTGCGTGTGCGCGTGTGCGCGGTCTCTTAGAGAATTTCTCCCCGCCATCAGGATGATGGAGTAGCAGGGGTGACCTCATTCAGAGCAAGGCCCCATGGGTGGGTGAATTGCTACCCAATCCAGGGTTGCAGAGGGGTGGTTGCCTGCCCTGAGCCCAAGGTGGCAGGAAGCGGCCACCGTCCCAGCAGGGGCCTCTCTGCGTGCCTGCTTCCCTTCCGGGACCTGCAGGGAAAGGACCTGCTGCTGCAGCTGGAGGATGAGACGCTCAAGCTGGTGGAGCCGCAGAATCAGGCCCTGCTGCACGCCCAGCCCATCGTCAGCATCCGCGTGTGGGGCGTCGGTCGCGACAGTGGAAGGTGGGAGCTGGGCCTGGGAGCCGAGGGTCGGGGCTGAGCCCGCAGTCAGTGCAGACCCTCCTTTCTAACCCCTCTCTGCCTCTCTTGTGCTGCCGGACCCAGAGAGAGGTACATGCCTGCTTGTTTTGTCCTCCCACCTGGACGGAAGCCTCCACCGAACACCCGCCTTCCGCGTTCTGCCCCTTCCCGCCCGCCCGCTGCGCTCGCCCAGACCCCCTCCTCCGCTTACTTGCCTGCCTACCCTCCAGCCAGAAGGCCGCTCCCCCAGGACACCACCCCAAGGGCTGGGGCCCTGCAAGAGCTGCGATGCATAGGGAGGGTGCAGGTGGGGTGGGCGTGGGGCTCAGTACCGAATGGCGCTGGGAGACACTGAAGCTCGCCCTCCCCC